TGAAATGTCTATGAACCAGGATTCACTTTATGCTCCAGGAACTTGACCTGTACACATTTCTTTGTCCTCTTCATTCAACAGCTATTTTCTTTTCCTTTAAACCTTTAGAGCTCCTCCAGTGTAAAGGTCTGTGTCCATGTGTAGTGTGATTATAGATCAGCTCTAGCTTCTATATTAATACTGTGAAAGTATCAAAGCCTCAGTCCACAGAGAAATGCACACAGCCTGTATTCAGAAACTGAGCCTTAAAACCAGCCGTCAGGACTTCTGGAACTTTGTGATGTCACAACAAAGCAGTCACCAAGCCCCGCCCACCTGGACCCACCATCCAAACCTTTACAGGATTTGGTTTCTCTGAGTGTTTTTACCTGAAATCTGCTTTATTTTTATTGGATCACTCAGAACAATCACCGACCTGTTGTTACTAGAGCTGCAGAGAGAAGCCTGAGAGAGGAGATGTAAAACTACACTGAGATGATTTTTGGTTCTTGAAACCACAAATATATCTTCTTATGGATCAACAAAATAAAACACAGGAAAAGAGAAATGAAATCTGTTGGATAAGAGGTGATACAACAACATTAAATCTGCTGCAGATCTTTCTGGAATTCAGTAGAAAATATGCTCATGTTTACAAAACCCTTATTCTGCAGGTTTATTGTGTAAAATATAGATTGTAAAACACAGATGACAGTTTTGTGTAGTTGTTCCAAATGGACAAACAAACAACAAAAGCAGAATGAAAAGCCACAAAACTGTTTAAAACCTGATGACAGCCGACAGTGTTATCACTGCTGTTCACACACACACACACACACACACCAAAAAAAAAAAAAAAAAAAGATAAAGTGAAAAACAAGAGCCACAAAGAGAAGTTCAACCCCCCCCTCTCCTTTCTCACCCCCGCACAGCTGGCCGGTGGCAGTGTGAGGTGGGTGTGAATGCTGGATAATTGGTTTTGGGGAAGGTGTGGGCGGCGGGAGGTTTCTGAAGCTGTTGGACCATCTGAGCAGCAGGTCTGAAGAGGCAAACCGACCTCTTAACGCTCATTGTTGGTTGGTCCTCTCTGGCACAGAGGCGTGATAATAAACACCTCTACCTTTTCATCCATGAAGCCCTTATTGGACGTTCTGTATAACGTCTATACTGGACTGGACTGGACCGCAGGACCCGACCTAACTGGCTCTACTGACTCTCTTGTGCTTCAGGTCTCGTGGGTTTACTGTGAACCACATGGAACTGTGTACAACACGCTCTGAAGTTCAACACGCTCGCTCTCCCTGGACAGTTCAAACCACTTCACCTCAGTGAGCAAATGTTTTCACTGAGTATCTGAATTTTGAATTTGAGCTCTGTGTATTTCTGCGTATCTCAACATCGTTGCAAATGATCCACGATCCTCCAGGTTTGAATAAATGAAAGAAAAACTAAATGAAGCGGGAAGTGTCAAAACTGCAGCAGCTATTACTTTGTTTGCCTGTAGGTGGCGCAGGTCGGACTGGAACTGGAACCTAAAGTATTATTATTAATCTGGTACCACCTCTGGTATCGGTGGTTTATAATTAGGTTATTAATTCAGTTGTTAACACTTAATAAATCATAAATAATCAGTTATAAGCAAGTTATAACCCAGTTTAATACATAGATGCAGGCTCACTATTTGGCAAGATCAAGTTAATGCTCATTACTCATTAGTTTTGCTGACGACTTACTACCATTAATAACCGGTAAAAAGAAGCCTTATTGTAAAGTGTAAAACACATCATCATTTATTAATGGGTTGCTATAAGACTCCCTTTTACCAGCTATAAATACTAGTAACTCATTAATAAAAAGTAAGTCATTAGTAAGGCTAAGGAAGCTTTAACTTGATCTTGCCAAATAGTGAGCCTGCATCAATGTATGAAAAACTTGTTTATAACTGTTTATTTATGATTCATAAAGTGTTAACTGAATTAATAACAAACCATTTATAAATCCTTTATGAGGCTTAATGTAAACTGGCGTCATTGCTCTTGAACATTAGAGTAATGAAGCCGGTGTCGTCCATCTGTATGATGATCTATCAACCCTGATGCAATCGATCAGTCGTGTGCCAGTCAGGTAAAATCTTATAACAAGCTTCAGAGCTCGAGTCTCATTGTGGTGTAAATGATGTTTATGAGGCTTTTTTCTGCTTTTTCCACCTTGATCACATTCTGGATGAAACCTGCAGCTTCAGTGCAGAAACACAAGAATAAGTTTTGAGCCTTTAAGAGCAAATCAGCAGGTAAATGCACCTTACCTTTTTTTTTGGTTCTCAGTCTTTCACTTTGCAGCTCCTCCAACAACAGAGTGACTTTAGAGGGAACAGCTTCTTGGTCTCTCACCTCTTCAGTATGATAAGATAGGAAGTATCCAGGCTTGGCTTTTTCTGTTGCATCCTCTCCTGGTGAAAATGCCTGCGCCTCATGGATGATGTGAGCCGAATGATGGCGTGTGAATTGTGCACGCCTGCCTCCCTGTGACTGTGTGACGATCTTTTTGCGTGAGTGAGGGGAATCAACCTTGTCCTTGATTGCCAAGGTAACTTGTTTAAAACCGCCACAGTCCCTCACCGAGGGCCCCGCCCTTTCACAGGAAGCACAACAAGACGCGACAGAGGTGTTGACACGTCATGCATCATCTGTCTTTTTCTGTTTTGCACAAACCCAAACAGAACTCTGGGTATAATGTGCCTCCTATAAAACCCTCTGAATACCTCGGATAAATCCCGATCACAATCAGAATACCTTATTGATCCCCAGGGGGAATTAGGTTCCAGTCGCTCCTCGGCAGAGAAGTTATAAAGATAAAAATATACATATATATATATATATATACAAGATCAATATAAAAGATATGTCCTTATACTGGAATACATAAAAGAAAAGAAAAATTATATACGAGAAAGAGAAATAGTGTTTGATATGATGTGTGTGTGTTTGTGTGTGTGTTGTTGTATCCTTGTGAGATAAGAATAAACTTGCATGAGGGTAAAAGGGTGACGTTTAGGTATTTGTGAAACCTGCAGAGTCCTGCAGAGAATCTGGATCCTCTAATCAAAAGGCTTTTCACTCGTAGTGTTTCCATTCAAACAGGAGTGTGTAGTGTGTAGTGTGCAGTGTGCAGTGTGTACATCAGTGTGCGCTCAAGAGGAACGTTAATAATATCAACAGAGAGCGTCAGAGACATATAGTTTCTTTTTATTGGGTGTTTCACTTACAATGCCACTCACACAGAAGCATTTACTTCACACTATCACAAGGTCACATATAGGAACTCATCTCCACCAACAATTAGATGTGTGATTTAGTAGATTTTTGTTACCATGGTGACTCTTATCACACTAAAATAAAATCCCCATTTCCATCTATGTTGCCAGGATTATTTAAGAGACAAACAGCAGCCAGTTGTCAAAAGGGACCGGACAGATTCATCAGAGAGGGAGAAGAAAAACAAGGTTTTCAATGTTGGACGGTGAAAATGTGACTCTGTCCTTTTAGAGGCTGATCGTAGCACGTTTCATTATGAGTGGGATCGGGAATGTAAGAGAAACCAACGGCAGGAAACAAACCCAAAAACACAAGGGTTTGTGGGTACATAGTTAATGGTTGGAAAGCCTGACAGAAAGAAAATGAAGTGAGAGCGAACCGCAGTCTGGACCGACGATGCTCATACGCAGCTTTTTCCCTTCATGTGCTCACAGCTGGAGCGAACAGAGACCGAGCTGAAGTTACAGATTTGTTTTGAGTCTCCACCAGCGCCGACGTTTCTAACCGAGCGGGCTGACATGTTACCTAAACTCCGTCCAACAAATGAGCTACTCGTGGAGTCCATGTGACTCTTGTTTACAGGCTCACTGGACGGAGTGAAACTTGAACTCCCAGCATGCAACAGAGTCAGATTTCCTGGCGAGGGAAGTCAGACTATGTGTCGGTGTGATCAGATGTGATTCCCACTTTTATCTGATGTGGGTCTCCACTTATGTAACAGACTGCACGGCACAGTCTCTCAGATGCGTGACGCCGCCGCCACAACTACCGAAGAGGTCTGGAGGAAAAGATACAACGCAATTTGGTCTTTCTAAAAAGTAGCTGTATATTGATTTTGATTTTTTTTTTTTTTTTTTTGGCTGAAGCAAAGTGGTTTAAGAGAGGAGGAAGAGGAGGAAGGGGGAGGGACAGTGTTGAGGGAGGGAGGGAGGGAGGGAGGAATAAAGGGGGGGGGTCTCAAGGTTGGAGATAGGTGGAAGTGGAAGGAGGGAGTTGTAGTTGTGGCGATGGCGCGGCAGCTGAGACTCTTCTTAAAGCATCAGGAGGACGCAGGCGTGTCACACCAGCGTCTCATTCAAGGCAAATCTTCCAAAAAAAAAAAAAAAAAAGATTAAACAGGAGTGGATCTATTTGTAAAATCATCATCATCATCATCAGATAACTGTACGTTCAGCCGCGAAGCATGGAACCACGCGCCGCAGAGCAGAGCGCGTCGGCGCCAGGGCAGAGATTCAAACGACAGAGGGTAACCCCGACCCCGGGACCGTTCCAGCTGGTGGCGGCGGTGTAAACACACAGCGACGCCCTACATACTGGAGCGCATGTGTATAGATTAACATATGCACTCACAGTACGGCACGAACTGTACCAGCTGTAGCCATCAGTTCACTTCCTGCCACTTGATTCCTACAGTACGTGAGAGAACAACGGATTCTGCCGAACTAGAGTTTCACTGCACTTTGATTTAATATTCTGGAGCGCTGTCAGCCTTTGATTAAATATCCATCACCAGCCACTCAGAGGCAGCCGCCACTGATATCATGGGGGTGTCAGACAGAGAAAATGTCTTAAAAAATGTGCAACGAAAACAACATGTTTTTCTTTCCTTGCTTTATCTTCTGGCAAATGAATGAATTTAAAAGCATCTAGTTTCTCTGCTTCTCTGCCGCTGAAAAGATGTGAGGGAGGCTGGGGGGGGCGGGGGGGTCACTGTGCCTTGAAGAACTGCAAAACCCCAAAAGAATTCATTAGGCAAAGTTTAAATGAGGAATTTGGTGTAACTGAAAGGCTGACATTAACAGGGGGGGGGGGGCTTAAAATCATGGACGTTAAAACCAAATCTATAAATCTATCTCTCCAAAAAAACTGTGTCCCCCCCACAGCACAGCCTACAGTGCATCTGTACACACACGTAGAATGGGCAGGATTTTATCAAAAGGGGTCGAGTGGAGCAGGACTGAATTGGGCGATGAGATCACCATGGCAACGAGGACCTCCGCGGTGTCGAGCATGAGGGGAATGTGGGAGGGAGTTTCAGGCTGAAGTGGTCTAAAGTGGAGGGAATCGCTCTTCACTTCTACAGATTTGGGAGATTCTCATGGCCGCGGTCCAAACACTCACAGTAATGAACTCTTCACACACACACACACACACACACACACACACACACACACACATACACACACTATCTCTCGCACGCGCACACATACACACACACACACACACACACACCATTACATCAATGTAAATAACAGTTATATAACAAGACCGCGCGGACACCGAGGTAATTACAAGGGGCTTACATCAGTGTCCGCCGGCCAAAATAAATACAAACACACCGAAAATTAATGTTCCCTGATGGCAGCAACACAACAACCAAAAAAAAAAAAAAAAATGTAAACAAACACAGAGTGAACTAAAGTATTTCAGGATTGCACATTTCAGAGATGGACGATTAATATCTACACCTAACAGATGATGTCCTGGTTTTTTCATTAACAGACGGAAACAAAAAACAGTCAGTGCTTTCTTCGTATTTGATTTGCTCACAAATCCTGCGTACTGCGTGCATTTCACAAAACACACAACACAACGAGTGTCCCGATAAACTCTAAACCTTCCCCTCCACAAACTCTACATTATCCTTAAAGGTTGAAAAGAAACCTGATGAACAGAAGAAATGTTCCACCAGTTTTGCTGATCGGAAGCGTGTGTGCGTGTGTGTATGCGTGTGTATGTGTGTGTGTGTATGTGTGTGCGTGTGTGTGTGTGTGTTTGATGATTAGGAGTTACGTTGAAATCGAGTCCAGCAAACCGGGGGACAGGGATGAAGGGAGGAGGCGTCACATGACTCAGTCCTGGAGGGAGAAACACAAAGACACTGAATCATTTCTGCATCAGGAACATTAGTTCTAATCACAACTGTTTGACAGCGAGGATCAAAGCGAGATTGGAAACAGCTCAGTTCAGAGGAGCAAACATGCCTCTGAAAACACATTAAAGTGCCCCCCCACTCCCCCCAATACCCCCCCCCTTTTCTTTTTTTTTTTTCGTTTTTCACCGAGCTCATTTTTGTTGTGGAGTTGATAAATATTCACGCCTGAATGCCACTCCTGTCACCGCAGGCAGCTCAGTGGTGGGGATTTTACAGTTTTTTTTCTCAGTGCATTCTGAGAGAGAAGAAAAATGGAGTGGTTTTTAATTTGCCAACAGGCGAATGCTGAAGGAGCAGAACCTGTTGGTGCCGAGCAGCCGGCAGAGGAGGAAACACACAAAGACACGGCGGTTCACATTTTCTATCGATCCTCTGTCTCACTGTTCAGCCTCCTTTTGCTCATTCTTGTGGTTTTGTGCATTTAAATTGAATCTTTATTAACACAAAATAGCAGTAAAACAACAATAAGCATTAATCTAGCCGAGCTGAGATGTGCCAAAAGGTCTCCGAAGATACATAACCGAAGAATCTCATTTATATATGATAAACATTGTGGAAAGTTTGTTTTGTTTATTCAATAAAATCAAAGTTTTTTGATTACTGGAGTTAATTAATTACATTTAATTTAATGTTTCAAAATAAAATGCTTGAAATGCAGCTCCTGTTTTTACACACATTGATTTCAGGCTTCTCTCTGGAGCTCTAGTAACAACAGGTCAGTGAGCCAATCACAAGAGAGGAGGCTCTGAGTCTGTCTTCTGATGCATATAGCAGATTTCAGGTAAAAACACTCAGAGAAACTTGGGCATCTTGGGCTTGGTGGCTGCTTTGTTGTGACATCACAAAGTTCCAGAAGTCCTGACGGCTGGTTTTAAGGCTCAGTTTCTGAATACAGGCTGTGTGCATTTCTCTGTGGACTGAGGCTTTGATACTTTCACAGTATTAATATAGAAGCTAGAGCTGATCTATAATCACACTACACATGGACATCTATCTTTATACTATATGGGACCTTTAAACTTGAAGGAAAAAAACATGAAAATTTGATTGTTACCTTTTGTTTCGGAGGATGATGCTACTTACAGAACTACATTCAATTTTTACATGATAGAAGATGTGTAGTGGTTAACAGTGGATCTGGATTCAGATTAAACTGCCAGACAAGCCAGTGACTCCTTTGAGAGGAGGCTGTGCCTTTAAATGTTGTCCTGACAAACTGACCTTGTTTATTCCCAGAAGTAGCGCAGATACCATATAGTTTCATTCTTCAGCTGAGGGCCAAACAGGGGGTTGGCCTGGGCCAGGATGGCTATCAACCAACTGAGTGAAGACAGAGAGAATGAGTCACATGTTAGCACAGAGGGACACTCTATTATGTATAGCTTCAAAGAAAAGCTGCTTTTCTTTACAACTTGGGTTTTATTGCTGCAGATTTGGGCAACAACCAATAGATCGCACCGCTGTAATCGCCAGCAGTACTGTAGAGAGAGCACACAACAGCACTACACAGGAAAAACAGCTTTGCGGCAAAATCCCAGAAGGCCGAGGACACAAGAGACTCGGTCAACTTTTAAACACGTCCAACTCCAACCAACTCTCAGAGCTGTTATTTGGCTAAATGAATGTGAGCAGTGTCTTTTTTTTTTTCTTTTATCGTCCTTTTAAATCAAATGTGATTGTCTATCGCTTTGCAAAGCTAATGAGCTCAACCTGCAGGCCGGCCTGGACGCAGCTACGTTTTCTTAATGACCTGGCAAGCGTCACCGTGAGCTCACACACAATGGGACATCGTGAAGGTGGTCTGAATGAAGCGTTAAGAATCTGTTTTTAATGACTGTAGTTCTCTGGACTCAGTGGAATGATAATTTGTATGTATTTTAATTAGCAAAAAATTACATCAGAGACAGGTGGAAGCTTCTTGTGTGTTTACCAGACTTTAAATCAGGCGGATTATTAGGCACCTGGTACAGAGCTCAGCCAGAGTGAATCTACAAAGGACCCCTGGATCACCTGGGCCGTGTGCTGGCCAGGTGAAGTTTGATCTCAGTGTGTCCTTCAGTATCACTGCCCAGGATAAACTGTAAGTCCCTTCATCTGTTTCCTCTGTTTCAAGCTAGTGGCTGGTAGCAACAAACATGCTAGCTTGATGCGATTACGTCACTCAGTATTTACAGCGGCCCTTTAACACGGTGTCATCTGAAGCACTGTGCTGATTTATGGTTTGTGTGTAAATGGATTCAAACCTGATTATAAGCTACTTTGTGGGAGCTAACAGGCTAAATTGTAATTTTACATTTGGGAAGATGCTACACTGTGGGTTTGACCAAACTGATTGAACCACTGGTGTTTTCTCATTTTGTTCATCTTCATGTCTTTGTGCCTTTTTGGAGGCTTTTTCTGGAATGAAGCCAGTTTGAATGGAGCACAGTGTGGCTGTAAACAGTAAGACTTAACCACAGATAAATATCTTTTTATTTATTTACTATCATTTTCTTTATTTTTGTTCTTACGGGACCATCTGAAGAGATGCTACTGATCAGTAACTGGCTTTGGGTCAAAGTTCACAACAATATAAACCCAGTTGGTAAAATACTGGCTCGACATTTCATTTACTGAACTTAAATAAAGCACAAAAAGCACCACAACACAAAGTATTAATAGTGATAGCAGCAGTTGTATTAGTGCAACATGGATCCATGGCAGTGCATCTTATTTTCCTTAATTTAATTAGTATTTAAAATAGTTGGAACATATTAAACAGACACAGTGTGGAGATGAAGACCTCATACATGGACAAAAACAGGACTTTAGTAAAGGTTGTCGTGGAAAATTCAATTGTGATTATTTTTGTTTTTGTTTTAATGGGAGAAATATATACCACCACATGTGTGCGCTCATGTTACCTCATTTTAACCCCTCGGTTGATAAGCTGTTCCTTGACTAGGGTGGAGTAGTTCTTTACCTGCCTTCTTACCCCGCATATCTTGTTTTTACTCGATGATCGTCTTTAGCGATTTATCGGTCGGCTGATTTTATCGACCGATATCGGCCTGTCACAGATATATGGGTATCGGTGGATATATTCTCCGATACGAGCTGATATGAAAACTTTTATTAAGAGGCAATAACGCAGCAGAAATGCTCAGGTCAAGTCAAGTTATACAGGCAGCATTTTATGGATATTTGATTCTTTGTTTCCATTCAATTTAATATACATATATAATATATATACATATTTGTTCCTGTTTTTTATTTGTAGTTTTTTATTTTTTATAGTTCTTTTATTTAATTCCCAGTGAAATTTACTATCTCAGTTACTGATGTAATTTTGGACAATAAAGTTTATTGTTAAACTGTAAAATATCCTGCTACATTACATAGCTTTGTAATGTAGCAGTGCTCATATATACATATATATATCTATATATATACATATATATATCGATATCAGAATTTTTTTACTCCATAATATCAGTATTGGCACCGCCCCCAAAAATCCAATATCGGTCGGGCTCTAGAATTCACAGCTACCTGTCTGTGCGGCCGGACATCACCGACAGTCAGCGAGGGCCGGATACTCCCACATTCTTGTTCTTGTTCATAGTATAAGACGGTGGATTGTTCTCATGTCGGGGCCGTTTATCTGCCAATGAATGCTGAGCCCATTTGCAAATGTTATATTTGAATAAAACCCACAAAGACGAAGAGTCTTTATCTTTGTCGGCGTGTTAATACTCTGTTACAGATAAACGTCTTGAAGATATAATAAGTGATAAATTGTTATTTTCTGAGGTCTATGATTATAAGTAATCTTTCCAAGTGGATGTATTCCACACATTCACCGTCCCTCTCTTCCATTCAAGCTGCTCCGACTCATCCAGGTGCATCATTATAAAACAGTGGAGACCAGGTTTTCGTTACACTGACTTTAAGGTTTGGGGATCTGCTATTGCTTGTGGGCTTGTTGTTGGTGGAGGGACGTTCAGCCGCTGAAGGAGCCGGAGCGCCCTCTGCTGGTGGATTAATGATGCTGCGTGCACATCCTGTGCAGTGACCTGGTTTTTGTTACACGGTTCGACGAGCCTGATGGATTTAGAGATTATCTTAGCTCAGTGTTTCTCACCACACAATCATTAAAAATGCTCTCTCCATCCTTTGTCCTGCATCTATTGTCCAGATGTGTCACGTTCTCTTGCAGGCGGTTTCAGACTGTAAAGCTTTGTACGGCTGCTGTGGTCTCAGTTTGTTTCAGTGCGTTTAGATCTCTTAAAACATCCGGCTGGTCGTTTTCTGCACGTCCTGTTTGGATTCTTACACATGCTTCACGATCTGATGTTAATTACCGGAGTAACTCGTCTGTCTCTTCCTCCTCTCCCAGCAGCTTGTTCTCCACTATAACTGGTTCTCTGATTGTCTCCACCTCATGTTGCTCAGCTGATAAATGCTAATTTCCCATGTTTTTAAAATCCTTGTGACTCGTTATTGATCTTCACTTCTCTTTTCTGTCATACAGAGCTATTGGCATAAAATTATCAAGGGTGGGACACTTTTAGAAACAGACTGACGCGCTGGAAAAACTGCTTTTATTGTGAAACTACACTCACTGCTCACGTAGGAGCCATGAATGATTGGAGGACTGGATTTTGTGGGTTATATTTTGGGTGATTCAAATATTGTTATTCATCACTATGTTTGTGAGATCGCTGATTATGGACAGTTGGGTCACATGGATATAAGTGGCTGACTTCAGCTCTTGTTCGCCTGTGTGGGTGAGGTGGAGAGGAGGTGGGTGTGGTTATTTTGATCATAAGTTTGTGTACGATATAATTAGTTGATCTTTTTGTTAATAAAGGCAGCGTGTCAGACACATGAAACCAGGCCCGACCTCAGCCGCTCAGCGACTTTCAGTTTGTTTCCTGAAGTCGACTCGTTAGAGGTCATTTATAAAAGTTAGAGGAAACATTTCTAAACATGCAAAATGACAGCAGCTTCACACTGAGGAGGAGGAGGAGGAGGAGGAGGAGGAGGAGGAGAGCTTGTACTTACAACAGGTAGCAGCAGACGGCTGTGAGGATGAGACTGGTGACGATCACACTGTCAAAGAGGACAGAGTCGGTCAGTCACACACCTGACATGACAACGTTCTGAGATCTTAAATACCTAATAACACACAGTTTAAGAAATATGATTTTGTAAAACGTAGTGGGGTGAATTGTAGAAGTGGCATTTTTTACCTTCTGATTTTGAGTTCTTAAACAAATATCATCACATTATCATCATTATTGTTTTAGTGTTCATGTCCCACACCCAATTTAAAATAGAAACGCACCATATTTTCTGAGCTTATAGCAGAGTTTGGCAACATTACGACACACACCATTTGTCAACTGTCAAACCATTTATCCCTTATAATAATATGGTTAGTAACTAATGTGAGTGTATGCTGGTTGGATGAGACAACTGTGGAACTGCTCCATGGAAATATTGTTTTCCAACAAATGTTTCATTAATATGATGAAGTACCATGATTTTTCAGGCAGACTGACTCACAGTTCCAGACAGTTGTTTATCACAATACCTAGAAACTCAGTGGCCACTTTATTAGGTACACCTGTACAATCTAATGCAAACCACTACAACTGCCACAAAATCTACTTTCATGATGCCTACAATGTTCAGTTTTTTGCATTGAAATGTTTACCTGCAAACAATAAAGAAACTTCAGTCATTAAAGTTGAATGCAGTGAGTGTCATACAGATCAGACTCACTTACAGGCTGAGAAACTTACCTGTATCTCATAACTGCTCTACCTGAGTCCTGTTAAAGTATTTCTGGTTAAACAGCTGAATAAATCCACAGTTATATTGATGCCTGACTGCAGAGCCCGTGGACCACTGTGGCTGCTCCAGCATCACTTATTGTTCCCATTTTCCAACATTACAACCCAACACTAACACAGTGCAGAACGACTTTTATTTTCCTTCTTTCTTCATGTTGTTTTGACCCTTTAACCTTACTGATACAGAGTGGAGGGAGGGAGGGATGGATGGAGGGATGGAGGGATGAGATGCTGGGATGGACGCAGGATGACGCGCACAGGGCCTCCATCACATGAGCAGGAGCACGCTCGTGTATTTATATTGATACTATGCAGCTGAATATGGATTAAACGCTGATTTTAAATAATGAAAATATGAACTAATATCTGGATGCAAATGTTCGTGTATAAAATGAAAGATAACGCTAAAAAAAAACCGCCGTTAATTGCAGCCAATTAACGGTAGCTGGACCACCTACCCCCGGTTGGGTCCTTTCGGCACCAAAAACGGGGCCACGACCCCCACCAGCCCCCATAGCGTGGTGAAGCAGATCATCGGCAGGGCGAGGGAGTGAGACACCATGGCTCCGGTTCACACACAACCGCAGATATGGAGGAATTAATCTCAGTTTGTCCTCTCGGAGATAAAAACGCATCAATGGCCGCTGAGCCAGCCCGTCGCTTCCGCTATGTCCCCGCCCACGCTAAGCCGACGTGGTATGTGATTGGTCCAGGCCCGTGAGATAGCGGTGTCTGATTGGTGTAGCCAGCTGCCGTTCAGTATTACAGCGGGAGGGATTGGACGGGTGTCTGTGCCAGCAGACTGCAGGCAAATGTCCGATGTTTTTCATCTTCAGCCCAAATACATTGATCCTGCATTTTCTGATCAACTGTGATTTTACTTACTACAATCAAATATGTATTTTTATTTCCAAATTAAATTTTTTCTCATTATTTTAAACCGGATAAATGTTTGTTTTTAGCAGTAATTACATTCACCCATATGATATTTACAAACAAACAATAAAAGACTAAACAATTGACAAATAATACAATTTTTATATATATAATATATGTATCAGCACCATTAATATTACTGACCATTGTCAATACTTGATCATTCGCACACCTACTGTAAATCTAACACACCCATTTATCAATTGTAGTTGTAGCTGTGTTAGTGTGACAGAGGCATCAGGAACTGATTACACCAGTAGTATTAGCTAACCAACCTGTTAGCATCATATTGCATTTCTGTGTGATTACCACAACCATTTAGTGTGAATATCAATATGTTTTGACTACATTACCAATATAACCAAGGCTTTATTGTTACAAGCTTTAATTACTTATGATCTTAATCTTACTTTCTCTTCTTAGTATGTTGTGAGAGTGGTGCTACAAGCCTTATATATAGCATTTTTAATTCATTAAAACTACAGTTCACGTGCAATATATGAGAAAAACAACTGAAAATACTCATTTAAGATATTTCAGTTATGTGTGGGTGTCATTGCCACAGGCTGCCACTGTAGTATCCTGCATCTTTGTACCCACAGCACACAACGATGCAACTACAACCGCAGAACCCACATCCTTTTAAAGTATATAATGTACCTGCTGCCAGGTTTGCATGAAAATGGATGTTCATGCATCATTATTTCTACTTTCTGATTAGATTCCAAACACATTGTCTGTCTCTAATGAATTTCCACCACATTTTTTGCTTATTTGATTTGCTTTCAAAGATATGACGCTCATGTGCATCATAAATTCTATCAGTACTTTACTCCCACTTAATTCTTACTCTATTCTGTTTAAACTGGTTTCACTATACGGTGGTGAACGGAGAAGGTTGTCAACCTTGTTAGCTTGGTTGCATTCACGTATAGAGAGCTTTGTGAATTTACTTTTTGGGGAACCTTTATTGTGTAACTGACAGCTTGATATGACATGAAAATCATCCCAATTTTGGCAACATGAAGTCTTATGTACTAAATTGTAAAAGCTTCTGAATGTAGAAAGCTCGGCAAGCTTTGTGCTGTATGTCAGACTCAGTCGTTCATTTTCAATTTTGCATTCAAGACCACAGGTGTATTCAACACATGTAATATAGCAGTTGTTTATGTTGCATTAAACTAGATTGTTTTTGGACCACCCAAAACTAAAACTGCAGCACTTATTCAAAATACAATACAGAAGAAAACAACGTCACAGTCTGTTCATACCAATGTGGATATAATCCTTAACACCACATACAAACTAACCTGTACCTCACAGTACAATATTACAGGGCAGTGGATAGAGGTGTCAGTGTACAGTTGTTGCAGTGTCAGGGTTTCATCGATTCACACAATTATTCATTCCATCCATACCAGACAACTGCTTTCCAGTTTTAAGTGGGTTAGCATGCCAGGAAATACCAGATGGCTTACAGTTTGTTGTTCTCAGAATATTTCTCATTTCTTGGCAAGACGAGTCGGTTTGCCCCTCACGGGAAAATAGGCACAAAGTTCTGAAACTGCCAAACTGACTTTATAAGCATTTTGGATTTCTACAAGAATTTCCTTGAAATAAAAAGATTGGCTAGTTTATATTTCTTTTTTTTTTTAATTGTATGCTTCCATGTAGACATTTTTAACATTTTTGCATGTGGCTCACCTGCCCTTGCTGGCTTGAATTTGTATGAGGAAGCAGATGGAAGTGGAATGAAGTGATGGGGAAAAAGGAAAAGGCCTGTAGAATGCAAACTGGTGACTGAGCTGCATTACTACATGCATAGCCTAAGCCAAACTGCATTGCTTTATGAATGACATGGAATAGCCTATGCCTGAAACTTGAACTGAGGTTAAAGAAAATATATGAAGGTTGTAAAAAAAAAGCAAAATCAATGTGTGAAAAATATTACTTTTTGTGAACTTTTTAAAATTGAAATTTTTTTTTGCTGGGAAGTAAGAACGTGTAGGAAGACTAAATGACACTGGGTTTAAAAGTTTCTGTCTCAGTAACTTCCATCATAGTTAAAATACATTGATTCGTTTTATAGCTGGAGCTAAACTGTATAATGATTAATGGATGGTGTGTGTGTGTGGTGTGTGTATGTGTAAGTGTGTGTGTGTGTGTGTGTGTGTGTGTGTTTGTGTTTGAGGGTTTGTGCGCAAGTCAAATTAGCTGATCTAAATCAGTTGTGTGTGGCCAGCTGCTACTGGTTGCCATAGAGACGGTAACTGCTTCTTACACCTGGTTAAAACAGGCATCAGTGGTGAGACACACCTCTCAAACTCTGCCTTGTCAATCAAAGCCCATTATCTCCAATCACCTGCTTTTGAGCTTTTAATTTTTTACGGTTGCGGCCGGAAGTCATCTTCAAATTCTGCCCGTCATTGTTTTATTGTTGAAAGCTACGACCGGAAGTTAGTTTTGTCTCAACGGCGGTTAGCTCGACAGTGGTGACTGGACAGGCGGAGCGGAGAGGGATCACCGATATTTCACATGAACCGGTAGCTTCACCGGCGAAGTGTCAGCGCTAAATGAAGACCGAGGAAGTGTCGTGTCTTACGGCGTAACAGTTTAAGTTTTATTGCGAGTGTGTTCCGATAATGCTGGGCGGTAAAACCTGATGAAGTTCACCAGAGATATCTGCCGGCTGCTGGGCTTAGGAGGCGGTGAGTAAACCCGCCACTGAGCCGTTAACAACTTTTGGTTTTTCACTCAGAATAAGTTGGTGACACACTTCTGTGAAGTGGAGTTTAGCTGTGATTTGTGATGCTATCTCAAAGCCACTGTCTCTCAGGCTGAGTTAGCAATGATAACCCATGTTGAACCGTTAAATTTGATGCAACAGCCCATAAATAGCGTTTGAGAAATGGGTAAAAGTATTTAAAAATGGCCAACACAGGCTACAGTATGTGGTGTACAGTAGCTATACACTGAAGTTAAATGGAAATATTCAATGTTGTGGACACTAACTTGTCTTTTGCTAACAACTGAATACAGCAAATAGCTAGGTTGTCTAGTTAAGTGGTTAATATGAATGATTTCCCAATTACATTTTGTGGCACATTAGCCTGACAGAATTAACTTTCAAGTTTTATTTTTAGGTTTGTTGTTTTTTGGCTTGCTTGTTTTTCCTGTGTAAGCGGCACTTTATTTAAAGGATAGAGAGAGGAGAGAAAGCTGCGTGTTTGAATGTTAAGCACCCATATTTTTGTTTCAGCCATTGTTTATGAAGAGACAGTGAATGTATGTTTGAGCTGTAACATACAGTATTTCACAGTGAAAAGCTGGTTCTACTTGTCCAGGTTGTATGAGTGTGGTAGGTTGAATTGCTTTGAGCCCAGTAAAGCAATTTTCTGGAGAAAAAGGGGGATTTTTTTTGGAACAATTCACAATATGTTTTGTGTTATACAAAGAGGCCAATTATACATGGTGAAACACACAAGTAAATATGCCTGACAGTGAATTTATTATGCCTGTTGTTGGGCTCAGAAATTGCATGTAAGGAACGCCAGAGTCTGTTAGATGCAAGTTATTACCAGTGTTGTGTTGAAGTCTTTTTCCTCTGTTACCCACCCTTATGTCACATTCATAGGGATTCACCTATCCGACACAAAAGATCAACATTAAATACAGCTTCTTTGTCAATATCATTATAAAATTCAGTGTTACATTAAATCACACTGGATCGTCGAGTCAGTTTGTAGTGCCATCATACCTAACCACAACTGGCCATCTTGTGCCATGCTTACCATAACCCAACTTTTACCCAAACACCAACCAGTCATCTCTGATGCCTAATAATAACAGAACATTAACCGCACTAAAGCCCAAACTCCAAACATGGAGGGCAGTGCTACGGAATTCATTACTGGAAGTGGAAACAGACTTGAATAAAGGCCCTGTAGTTACTGAGGATGATTATGGAGGCACTGGTAACTGTCTGCTTGCTTTACTGGACCCCTTTTAAGTTTAGTCATCCAATATCAAGAATGGCATGTAGAAAATCTGCCTCTTCTCCCAGCGCATTGCACTTAATCACTAATTCTGGACGCCATATGGTTCATATTTTAGCCCTTTATTCTGCAGCATTTTTAGCTTTGGATCTGCTGTTATTGTGGTTTGTATTTTATTGTGTGTCCCTCATTACAAATTCATTTACAAGTTCATTTGTGTTTCTGATCATTATGCCTAGATTCATCTGGCAGCATGTAATAAACCCAACTAAAATATTTGACTGGCAAAGGAGTTGTGCAGTAACCATGCAAGAATGCACTGAAACTGGTTTGACCACAATTGCACCTTTTTAAGTATCACCATTGGTTAAACCAGATCAAAAATAACTCTGGCATTCACGTAACACGTCAAAGCTTCGATTGATATCTCAACCAAACCAACTAATATTACATAAACCTGCTTTGATACTGAAAGAACAGGCTGAATATTACATTATAAGAGGAACATGTTTCAGGAATAATCATTGACTGAAACCGTAACTATAAAGAGAAAAGAGTTGATATCTCACACTGCAAAGACTAAAACAATTTCCTGAGGGAATCCCTGGACTTCTAAAAGTTACATCACTCAACCTGGTCCCATGATACAAGCGTAACGTCCTAAAATAAAAACATTGACCTTCGATTATGAAAAATACTGACAGTGCAGAGCAGGAGAGATTTAGCTGAAGGAGGCTACAAAGATTAAATTTGACATTTTTCTTTTTGTATACTGTCATTTGCATGAAGGTAATCTTTTCTCGTGATGTGAAGAGGCATAATCTTAAGACCTTCTGCTCATTCTGGCCAAATGTAAACCCAAAAATACCTTTGTTTTCTGCCTTGGCTTATAAATCCGTTTTATTGCGTCTTCAGTGCACAAGAAGTTTGTTGATTTCTCAAATGATCACATGCAATTTTATTTAACTTCAAATGACGAATATCTCTGAGTAGTTCTGCAGTAAGCATGGTAATGTACATGACAAAATGCTCTTCAATGGACAACAGGGAAAAAAGGTTTTTATGTCTAATTCAGGTTTTCATCAGAGTTCATTGATACGCCCTTGAACTTACTTACTAGTCGTCAGAAATCAGCAGCAATATTAGACTCAACCGAAGTGACTAATGACTTACATTATAACCTCCTTTAAAAACTGTAAAAATCATCAGTCACATTTTGAGCTGTGTCGTTTATTTCTTCCAGACATAAATTAGGTTTATTTCAGTGTGAGTTCCTCACAGTGTTTGTCAGACCTCTGGTCCTTGGACTGTCTCACCAAGCTCCTTTTTATCTCCTCACATTCCTTCATATGCCTCTTTTTTTTTTCCTAGCAAGAAACAGCCGATATTTAACATTTTATTCCACTAAGCATGAAAGTTAATTCTTTCATGGAAATTGTAGTTTGACAAAGTAATCTCAACTCAAGGTCTACTTGCTGGCTTCTTTTTTTCCAGAGCTTTGTGGTTGTCACCATGACTCTGCAGAGTTTTAACAATGATGAAAGATGTGTTGCTTTATCTAAATCAGTGCTGCATTACAGTCACTGAATTGACTTGACTCAAGGCCCACTTACTAGATTTTTGTAGAGCCTTTAACCAGGGGTCTTCATCATCACTTTCCATGAGCTGTAGAGTTTTAAAAACTTTTCGAAGTATGAAAGATGCGTGGCTTTATCTCAGTCAGCTACCATCTGATCACTGATTGGACAAAATAAACTGGACTCAAGGTCTTCTTACTATCTTTTTGAGGAGCTTTTACAGATCTTGTGTTCTTCATTATTACATTAGACAAGCTTTAGAGTTAAAAATAAAACGTAGAGATGTGAAATATGTGTGGCTTTATCTCAGTCAGCTCTGCGATATGATCACTGATTTCACAAAATGATAGACTCAAGGTCTACTTACTATCTTTTTCCAGAGCTTTCAGCCACATCTCACAGTCTTCATACACAGTTACAACGTCTATACTGACAGACATTAACATTCGTCTCTTAAGTGGATGGAGTTTGGTCTGATTAAGACTGTTCTAGAAGAAGATAGTAAGAAGACCTTGAGTCGATGTCACTTTGTTAAATCAGGAAAAGAAAATGAATGTAGCACTGATTTTAGAGAAACGTATCGTGGACATTTGCAGGCATCAGGTGACCTCGTGCGATCTCACCGCACTGGAGGATTCTAGTTGTTTGTCTTGTTCCTGCGTAGAACAAATATCTGCTGATGAGTCAGAGGAGAGCACCTCAGTCTGCACCAACGACTTTCATGTGTGTTGGTTTTGTTTTTATTTGTTTCTGTGTCTTGGGTGTGTGTCTGTTTGTGTGTTTGTCATCCGTTCAGTGCACGGGCCAAGGGAGGGGCACATTCACTATGGACAATCATTAGCCTCGAGCTTCCTGTTCCTTGAAATGATTTGGCTAATGAGAGAGTGAGAGAGAGAGAGAGAGAGAGAGAGACAGACCTTTGAATGTTAATGCTTTATTATTGTGGTTATTTTCAGGTCTTGTTTAAAGGTGTGCAGACTCACTCTGACCATATAAATTACAGGTGTATTCATTCTTATATGTAACTGTAGGAGTCTGACTTTGAGGAGGGTCCTCTATCAAATCTTCCATCACAGAATATGTAATTTTATATCACTAAATATTAATATAATTGTGATATTATTTTCTGGAAAATCAATTTAGAAATTGATAATAAATTAAATAACCAGACAGTAATGTCATAATGCAGTCAGCATTTTCCATAATAATAGGCTATTAAATTATTGTATGTAGCAATCATAATAATAACAATAATATTATGACTAAATATCCAACAGTTGATAAACTTACATGTTCTTACAGCATATTTTATGGTCCAGCCCTGGTCTGAGTTTTGAATTAAAGCTTATTTTGATTCATTCAGTCATAATGAAAGAATCTATCTCTTCTATTAACACATTACTGACGTAAACACAGCCTCAGAAAACATGTGGAAATTTGTCTCTCAAATATGACCCCACATATACTGAACATTTTCTTTCTTTTCCTAATCAATGCCCAGAGCCTTTACTGACCTAAAGTGAAGTGAGAACCAGGCCAGTGTCTCACACAGGACGGGATTTCCTGCAGTGATTTGTCGTGGGTATGAGCCATGCTGGCAGAAACAAAGACCTTGTCCACTAACATAATAGAAAATGATGAAACGCTCATGTGATATTTTACAATAATATAATTATATTGGATTGAATTTGGCTGTTTTTTTTTTTTTAATTCTATTCTATTAACAAAATTGATCATAAGATGAGACGTGTAAGGATGTGGGTGTTTTACCACCTCAGCTAAATAGTTTGTTATCATAAACAAGTTTTTTTTTTGATAATTAATTTGATCAGATTTTAGTCAGACGCCTCTTTGTGCTCTGAAGTGATCCCGTTTGCTGTTGTTGTAACATCACTGTTGTTTCACATTAAAACCCTTCCAGCTGTTCAGGCGGCCGAACGCTTTCGCTTTCCTGGAAGACTCGTATTATGAAACATCTACAGGAAGTGCTGAAATTCAGTAATGGCAGCAAACAGTAAACAGCGTGTGGGAACAGCACTTGTGTTGGAGAGATAAATTCAGAGTGGAGAGTGTTGCATGACTGTGGCCTCTGTTTCAGACCAGCCTTTGTTTGCTCTCACTCACCATGCCTGCCAC